CAAACCACTGCCTTAGATGCCAAACAGGGCCCAAACCTAAAGATGCAGCATACGAAAGCTGGCAGAAGCACCACATTTGCCAGAAAAACACAGACGCAAAATCGGGAAGCATGGAAGTGGAGGCAGGCTTGACTCTCTTTGGGCAGTCTGTATCCAAGCATGGCCTGCGGTACACCACTCTTGTGTCCGACGGAGACAGCCGTACCTTCGCTGCCCTCACAGAAGAGAATGTGTACGGGCTAGTGCCAATTGTAAAAGAAGAATGTCTGAACCATGTTCAGAAAAGGATTGGAAGTGCTCTTCGAAACATTGTGCAGAAAAGTGATAAACCACTGAGTGGGAAGGGGAAGCTGACTAAAGCCCTCATTGAAAAGCTGACAGGATATTATGGTTGGGCCCTGAGAAACAATTCAACTGACCTAACAGCCATGCAGCGTGCAGTGATGGCAACATATCACCACGTCACATCGACTGACCAGGACCCTCACCATGAACTTTGCCCAGAGGGGGCTCAATCGTGGTGCTGCCATAGAGCTGCAGAGGCAAAGCGTGAGCCACAGCCAAAACATAAACACAGCCTACCGGACTATGTCGCTGCAGCTATGCTGCCCATCTACGAAAGACTGTCACAAAAGTCGCTTCTTCAGCGCTGCCTGGTAGTGAAGACGCAAAATGCATCAGAATCATTCCACTCCATTCTGTGGTCTCTGATGCCGAAGGAACAACACTCATCCTTGATCGCGGTAGAAACAGCACTGCATGAAGCAGTGCTGCGCTACAATGCCGGCTGCTTCAAAGCAACCCAAGTGATATCAGACTCCATTGGACTTCAACCAGGTCATCTGGCCATCCAGCGAGCTCGTGAAAAAGACGCTTTACGCCTAAAAAAGAATTCTAAAAGACACCAAGAGAAGATGGAGGCCAGGCAAAAGAAGAAAAGAGTGCGCCAGGACACTTCTAGCTACTGTGCTGGAGCTTTTTGAAGAAAACACGTGTTTTGAACTTTCTCGGCCTGTTTTCTCAGAACGGATTTTTTTGCTAGTTGTGGTGCTGAGGAAAGCAAGAACTCGAAAACCGTTCATCAGATTTGTGTGCCGTTTTTTTTATTCTGTTCCTGAATGACCTTGCAAGGGCGTAACAAGCTCCTTTTTTTGAAAATTGGTGCTGTTAATTTATAATAAACAATTATTTTTGATGAATCTGGTCATTACTGGTTACATCAAATTCAAAGTTGCGTGAAAATTTGGGGGGGGGGGGGGGGGGAAATTAAAAAAAACGGCTTTGTAGCGCCCTGGGATAGCTATCAAGGAATGACCACAATGAATTTCAGCTTTCTACTATGTCCTGGGATTTCTCACGACTCTTCCTCAGGCACCCATGTGAAGCACCCAGTTAAACCTCAATAACTCTGGAACTAAGAAACACAGCTTCGTGAAACTTAGCAGTTGTGCTAGTTTTATTGTAGTGAACAACCCCTGAAAGTTTCATCCAGATATCTTAAAAATAAAAAAGTTCGGTCTCCAGGGTAGCCTCCCCCCTTAAAGTGGGAGAAACTCAAAAGGTTCATTTCTATAAGTCCGAGCCCACCCTTTCGCTCAGGCTGGGTGACGACTCGCCATATTTTGAGAAAATTTATCACAGTGTAGCAGGCAGGGCCATTTGGTCACAGTTTGGCACAATTGGCGCGGCAGCAGCATCACTGCATATTCTAGGACAATGAGATAAATACGAATACGCATCTACGTTTTTTTTTTTATTCAATTCTCGATGACATGGACGTAGGGCAGTTAAGTTTATTCAGGAAAGCTACGTGGCCAAGAGCCCTTTAACGAGCTTGTTTTTACTCCAATAACAGTATAAAAAAGTAACAGTTCAGAATCCATATTTCCTAGATTATCTGCATCATAGTGATACAACAAAGATTCGGTTATTTACTGAAACACAAGTTTTTTTTTTCCTTCTTTTCTCTTTTTTTTTTTCCTCTCCTTAAAGCAAATAATACCCACTCTTTCCATCAGTTGATCACAATGCCACAAAGGTGCTCAAGATAATGTAAAAAAAAAGTTCTCCATCAAATTATATGACATGTGTGAAGCACGCCATCAGGATTAATTTTGACCATCCGGTTTCATTTAAGGGGGCAAACTGCTCTTAGAAATTTTTTTTATTTATTTAAAAATACCTTACAGGCTCTATTACGGAGCATAGAGTAAGGGGGGTACATAGGAAAGAATGCTAGTGGGTGCATTTCTTCAGTTATCTTGAGCACCTTCAGTGATTATTTCTTCAGTGATCTTGATCAAACTGCACAGAATTATGCAGTTTTTTCTGCTGATTTCAAATATTTAATTAGTGTTTCTGTAACTCATCTTATTCCCGAGATTACTTAAGTTCACCCCCTATTGTTTAAGGCCGCCATAGAAAAAAGAGGGCTTAATTAAAAGTGATATTATAAATATCCTAACATAGACTAATGACTATAGATTGAAATAATGCTGGAGTTTTTTGTTTTTAAGCCTTTCTTATTATTTTACAGCAAAATGAACTATCCGTTTTCAAAAGCAGTTGAAACTGTATTAAAATTTTGATAAGTAATTAATTAAAAAGGCTTGTTCTCTAAATTCTGCTCCCATACTTGCACCCTACACACATACAGGTTTCTATTGCAAAAAGAATTATTGTTGTACCTGCCCTAGCTGCAGAGATATTGAGGCCTCAAAATTGAACAGTTGTAAATATACTTTTTTGAGAAAAATGAAAAAACTGAAAACACACAGCTTCTTCAAAAAGCAACAATCATGGTGTGCATGTTTTGCAATCCTCATAAAAGTGTTCATAAATTTGTAGCAGAGCTTCTAACACAGGTGCCAGCAAATTATAAAGAGGCCTTGAAGTTGGTTCCCCAATTTTTCGCAGGTTTTTCATGCTAAAAGCACCAAGAATCTCGACAGTTAGAATGACATTACAAAAAAATTACCACTTCCTGGTGTGTAAAAATTTGCAGAGAGATAGCAAAATACTTGCAGATACCAAATATGTCAGTTTTAAAAAATGATTTTTTTTTTTTGTCACTTTTTGGTCCCAAAGAGCAGTCTGCCCCCTTAAGCGAACCTAAATCTAAGAACAGGGCCCTGCCTGTATATATTTCGCCTGTCAAAATTGCACACGACAACTCAAGTTTAATCACCTCCGCGTCCTTCTGGTTTTCAGTTATTTTAAAGGGACAATTTAACTACCAAAGTGTCAGAATTTACTAAACAGCAACGTCGTGGAACCAGGACCGTACAATAAAAGGTTCTCTCTTAAAAAAAGGCAAAGGACTGCTGCGACCAGCTGAGAAGGGACCCGAGCGGTTATCTCAAGCACAATGATAGCTCGCAGGATAACTGATAAGCAACAGTGCCACAATAAGACACCTAAAAACAATGCAAAACTTCGTTTATCATTGAGTCGCTAAAAAGCTACATCCACACAATATTTAATATTCATGCTTGGGACAATGCCAAGGGCACTTTACGATGTGCTTCAACTAAAAGTGGCACCTAAACGTGATCGTGGCGAACAGGACTCTACGCAGCACTCATGACAAATGCCTCATCATAATGCAATAAATATACAGACGAGCAAAGCCAAATGCTTCTGTAGAGTGCTAGGCAAAAGTACAAGACGTTAACCTTGGACTAAAAGCGAGCAAACCGCCCTTTCAAGAAGAGCATGACGTAAGCACACATACTAACCTAACCTAATGTGGCTAGCAGACGACGCAGGGAGCAATCCACACTAGGTGCACTTCAGCCAGTGGCCACAAGGCGGCGACGGCGACTTTGCTCAATCTCGGGGCGAATGAAGAGCCCTTTGCCGCGCTCTACTTGGCATGAGTGGCCCCTAATACGCGACCAGCTACAATTTTTTTTAATCACCAATAGCAAGACGAGTGTGCAGCCATTTAGCAGGAGCCCAGTGCCTATTCCCCTTCGCTGTCAAAAGCCCTGCATCGAGTTTCAGGCTTCTCTGCTACGTGTGTGTGACCTCTGACATTGCCCCACTTTACTTCTCCTTTGTTTATCCTTTAGAGACATGTTTGTCCTTAATACTGTATTTACTCGCATAATCCTCGCACTTTTTTTGCCAGAAAACCGATGCAAAGTTGTCGGATGCGAGAATTACGGGCGGAAAACTTTCCATGAAAACGCAGAGAGCGAAAAAGAAAACGAAGTGGCCGCAAATCGAGATTCTCACACCAGCAACTTACAGCAAGCTTTAAGAAGTACTAATTAGAACTTAGCTCAACAATAAAAGCAGAGGTGTTCAACACAAGGCAAGATTTATTTGAGACAAAAAGTGGAAGCAAAAGCTTGTGGGCGTTGCGGGCGTAGCGGTAGCGGTCGGCGCTCAACAGGAGCCCTCAAAAGGTAAGCGTAGGACATCAGTATTGGGCTGATGGCTATTTAACAGAATCGTCTACAGTTTCCTTCTGAAGAAATAAAGTTTACCATCAATCCCAGTTTTAGGCGCACGGCAGGCCCAACGCGTCTTGGTGGTTTTCAGCTGCCATCACCAGTAGCGAACACAAAACTCGTAGACTCCGAAGGGCCTACAGGCGGCCCTGTTGCCGTTGTTTAGCGCATGATCTATCACTTGCAACTTGAAGCAGCCGTGTGGCTTCAGTATCGCCCCGTAATGTGCCAAGATTACCGACACAACATACAAAACACGCCGCAACGCGCACTGGCCACTTCGGCTTGGCTTGGATTGGATTGAATCTCCATCGAATACTACGCTTGATGCTTAAGAGATGGCGCCAGATGGCGCGCGCTATCATCCTCAGTGGCTGGAACGAGCAGACGACATTATTGCGCCAGTTTTTGGAAGTGCAGTAATTACTCGAGGAAAAAAAAAAAACATTTTTCTTGGGCGATGTGGGGGGTGCGAGAATTATGCGAGTGCGAGGATTACGCGAGTGAATACGGTAGACATCCTTTAAAGACATGTCAACCTACCTGGTCACGCTTGTCACGAATGGCTTTCTGCAGAGACTTGAGTTCCTTCTGTATCCACTTGTCCCGCTCTGCCTTAGATGTAAACTGGCTGCCACGGCCCTGCTTGGCATACAGCTCTGTGCGCTTTTGTTCCTTTAGGCTCAGCCTGCAGTCAACCAACAGTTCACTTGAGCCTACAAAAAGCTTGGCACAAATTCAGTGCCAATGCAACCAAGAAAAAGATCAGTCAGGTATTTAACCGACTAACTGTTAGTCGGTATTTATCCGACTAACTGTTCATAACCAAAAATGCATTAAAGAATGTCTATCTCACAGACAATTGACAAGCCCTCCCTGGAATGTTCTGTATGATGACCAATACCCCCCCAGTTCTAATTTACTAATCAACTCTTCAATCCTATTCACAAGGTGGTACCCTTATATCCATTTTTGTAGCAGGCGCTACTGATGTGCCGTAAACAACTGAATTATAAAAATATCCGGAATTTTGAGTCCCAAAACCACGACATAATTATGAGAGACACCCGTCCAACATGTGCATTGTTCTATCACTCAAAACTCTCATTAATTAGGACAGATTTGACCACATTTCAGTTGATTCGTACTTCCAAACGAAGTCAGGCCGCGAATCATGCACTGTTACCTTAGAAGTCAGGTATCACGACGAAGAAGTAGCAGCGGATTCCTACCGGCTGAATCGACGGCACACCTAAACAACTTCGAGATCGGACTATGGCGTTCGAGATTCAAAACGGGGTAGGAATGAGCTTTCCTTCTCGGAGGCCCCAAAGGAAAAAAAAAAAACATACACACAGACGTGTTTTAGGCGTCAAAGACAGGCAGGTAAAACACCATTTTAGGCCTTGAAAATTCTAAATATAGGCACAACAAATTTCTGCAAAAATTGATACAATTTAAAAAAAATATGTCGCAACGCAGATTACGTTCTTTCATTTCATTGTTTAGCATTGCGATTCAATTGTCCACTGTCCAATAAACACTCTCCTGGGTCTCCTTCCTTTTGTTGTGGCTGGGAAGGGCAGTGCAGGAGCAAATAACCAGACTACTGATACCCCAGAAGGAAGAGATGCCAGGTCTAATCACGTAAAATCAATTTCTCACCTGTCGATGAACACCTTAGAAGGCGCCTCACTAGGTTTGGGTATGTCGAGCTGACGAGCGTAATGGATGCACAGGGCACTTGGGATCACGTCTGTTAAGATTTCCAAGGCTATATGTCACGGAAAACCACAAAATTTCTACTGAATGCCACTTGCCCTTCTCGCGGGCATGCACCCCAAAATGGAGGGATTGACATACTGCAAGGAAAGGCCCTGCTTATACGTCGCTCCTTCACGTTGACATTGGCGCTCTGACGTTGCTCACTGTATACTATTCATCAGAACTTGGTTAAATGCTAGCTATATCTGGAAAAACAGACGAAAAATGTCCGGTCTCCTGATTATGTCCTGCATTTTGAACGATACCTCATTAAGAGCGTTGCACGTGACATTATTCTAGTTAGTATGTGCAATTTGTGCATTCTGTCGTGTAGCATGAATGAGGAGTACTTTGGTTTGGGCAAGCTGCTTCATATCATTTTGGAAGGAAAACGCAAAGACAGAGGGAAAAGAATGAGAGCGCTTTTTTCTCTCTACGTCTTTCTTTTCCCTGTGTCTTTGTGCTGCCCTTTCAAAATGGGTATCAAAAATGAAAGCTGAGAAAAATGATAAAACATGCAAACAAAATGTCAGCTTTTTATTAGTTTTCAATGGCCGTGAGATGCTATACACTAATCGGCCCTCGTTTCGCGTCCGCCTCGGTGTACCAGTGGCTGTGGTGGTCCGCTGCTTACCCGAATGTCACGGGTTGGTTTCCGGCCACGGCGGGCACATCTAGATGGAGACGAAAACGTAGATGCCCGCGTATTGCGCGATGTCAGTGAACGTTAAAAAACACTAGATTGTGAAAATTTTCAAAGACCTTCATTACGGCATCCCTCATAATCATATCGTGGTTTTTTCATGTGAAACCACATATACTACCACTACTAATACTAATACTATATACTACTACTACTACTACTACTACTACCCTATTTCGCTTGTGTTCGTCTTCTCGCCGCTCATGCGTCTTGCCTTCGCCAACCCTGACAACACTTAGTTTGTGTTTGGCGCATCATCTTTGACCTAAGTTTCAGAGGAGCGACGTCCTGTATCACGGTCACGATACACGATCTATGCCAGCCTCTAACAAAAGTATGTGCACCGACTAATCCATCCCACAGAAACGGGTAATACAGAACGCCGAAACGACACAACATCAATGGCGTACGTGCTTAGCTAGGCTGGAGCACTTAATGCGCGCATTGACCTTTCTTTATGCAAGATGTTCTTGGTGCCTATGCATCATGTGATCCTCCAGCCCCGATACCCAAGAGAGCAGGGAAGGAATCAGGCTCACGATGGCTACGTGGACGAGAGGCAAGAGATTCAAGCTTGCCTCTTCGCATCACGGTTTCATGGCTCGTAGCGAACCAATTTGAAAAGTCACAGTGGTAGAATGCTTTTCATTGTGCATGCAAGAACTTTTAGTGTCTAACTACAACTTCTTATGTCACCTCGAGAGGGTTGCCTAAAGAAGTGAATTACAAACCGAACAAAAGCCACGTGAACATCACATTTTTTACCCGAACGCGCTGCAGCATAGAGGTTACAATATCAAAAAAACATGCCTTCATTGACAGAGCACACTTGTTTGTTTTTTTTTTTACAAGCCATTTCATTCAGGCATGAAACTAACAAAAAAAACAAATTAATATAAACATTAGATCTGATACAACATTCTAAAATCATGATTACTATTGCGCGCAGAGGACTGTCTAGGTACATTCATTTTCGAATGCGAGCTTTACCATGAAATGCTTGACATAGGAGCTGTAACCGTAGTTCATTTACCGTGATGATAGTATTTCCTGTCCTAGTTCATTTTTCATATTGGCACAGCTGTCATTTTTTGAGTAATGGCTTAGGACAAACTTTGCAGCCCTGTTTGAAGTTTGAAGTTTATTTTACTACAGTGTTACACCATACAATGTGTGGTGTGGAATGCGGGGAAAAAAGCTGCGATCGAAAACGCAGCTTGACTAGCCCCACATCCCATCAATACAAGGCAGAAAAAGTGACAGCATTCATAAAGTCCTCAAAACAAGTCCTGTTCTGTATTTTTTTATCTTTGTCACTTGAAGACATATTTCAAGGATTCTTATACGGCACAAGCGTATTCTGGCATAGGGCGAATGTATGCACCGTTCATTGTAAACATGCCAGCGCCTGTCTCGGGCTTTGCTGTATAAAATATAACGATTTGACAGCTTACCCTACCACTGAATCAACATGAGCATTACACGAGTGGCCCTTCATGGCTTTTCATTCGTTCTCCACCTACTCGCAGCTGCACAGAAAAACCTGCAGTTCTTTTCCCACCGGAACACCTAGGCTTTCAAGGCGATTCTTCAGTTCCTTCAGGACACTGGACAGCTGTCTGTAGAAGACAGTCGCCGCCTCCTCAGCCATAGACCCCAATCTTTTTTTTTTTTGTCCCATCTTTAATTATCTCTTCTCATTTCGCCTGCAGACGCTGAGACGTGCTTCCACTCAGGGCTGCAGAAATAATCTTTTGCACTCCTCATGCTCCTCCTCCATTCATTCATGTCAGCTCTGAGGCGTATGGTGGGCAGCGAATGCCATTTCACTGCAGTTAGCGGTTGTTTTGTGGAATTTGTTAGAACTACAGAACCTTGCTGAACCTTGTATTATTTGGAAATATTAATGTTGCCTTTTTTTTTACATGAAGAACGGTTTGAAACCACGCTTGAAAACAAAATTTGGGCTTAAATAGCACTCATATAGGGGTTGATTTGGGAAATCGGCATTTATAGCCACTTATAGGCATTTAGGCACAAACACCAAGAATAGGCATTTACAAGCACTATAAAAACACTATAAAAAACCTTCTTAACCTCTCATTCATGCTCATATACTAAAATGGCACGATAGGAAGGCAAGGAACGAAATAGGCATTTGCCTATAACACGGTCTTTTAGTTATGAGTAAAGGAGAGGCACCAGACGCGGGAATGGACTAAACGTGAGTGAGTGGGCGCAGCACTTAGTCTATATTTGGTTGGTGAGACTGAGCGTATTTGGAAGAATGCCTGCTTTTGAGTCAATGAACTATGAAAAAATCACGAAAGTGCTACATCAGCCGTTTATGCTGAATGCTGAGGAATTTCGCAAAAGATTTCGGAAATGCAAGCCCAAAGACGGGGAAACGAGAAAGTTTGTGAGCCATTTGTCTAGCTATTTTGACAGATGGATGGATATGGCTGAAACGCCTAAAACGTATGAAGGTGTGCGTGACTTCATGGTTAGAGGGCAATTCCTTGCTTGTTATCAGCCAAAGTTATGCGCCTCTTTAAAGGAAAGGAAGCTAGAGTCACTTGATGAAGTAGCCGACCACTATGACCATTATGTGGAAGTCCAGGGAACCAGATATTCAGGAGATAAAAACAAAGGCAAGGTCAGAGAAGAGTAACCGGAGGCGAGCTTCAAACCCCGAAATAAGGTGGCGATTCCACTGTCGCCATCTTGCCAGTAACGCCGAAAACAACACCAGGCGCCGCCACGATAGAAGGAGAACGTTTCGTAGGTCAAACACCCGAACTTTTGCTGGCGCGCCTAGGAGGGGGGAAGCATGCTGTCACTGTTTGAGAAATGAGCCATTCAGTAGGGGCTTTTTTCTTTCTCCCCTTCAACAGCACCTAAATCTCTCCCTCTAAAATCCATGCTCACTAGTCCGCGTCTGCTGCGGCACTGGGCTTTTCACGCGAGGAACAATAACGCTGAAAACCACACAAGTTTAGTTTTGGTTAGCAGGCTGTCGACCAGTCCTTCCTCACTGGCCACCTGCTCTGCATGACACTCAGTGGTGGGATGAGCGGCTGGCTGACAAACTTTCCCGCAGAAGCCACGTCTCAATCAACAGTTATCAAGGAGCACCAAAGAGTCCTTGCTGAAAAAATGCATCGCTCAAAAGAATACTACTTTAAAACCTTAATGCCCGACTTTATACAGAATGATCCTTC